TAGATAATGAACTGATTGCCGAAACATAGAATCTTTACGATCAGCCGCCAAAGATGAAAAATTTTGACAGTTTAGAAGTTCATGCTGGACTATATGTTTTTTCAAGTTAAAAATGTTTAAACTACTATAAGTTGAATATAATTATGCTGATTGATTAAGTTGCAATTGCAGGAACAATGCTGAGTATATACTGAGAAATACTGCAGCAGTCCTATGAACATTGGAAATATAAAATACTTTACTGCAGAATTGCAATACCACAAATAAACTGCACAAACAATACCATTTTGTAAACACCACCTATAAATATTGGCAATTAAAGTTTTTAAAGTTGTACCTTTCTTTCATGCTGATAGCCTGATATACTGATTCATTTGCAAATAATTAGATTTGGAGCAATGATGTTGCATGTATACTGTACAACATCGCTAGCATAATTATGAACATTGAACTTTAAATATTTACCACTGAATGGCTAGTGAACTGATTGCCGAAAGATTATGAATCTTAACAACCAGCTGCCCAAAGATGAAAAATCTTAACAGCTTAGAAGTCCACACCAGACTGTGTTTTTTTAGTTATATATACTGAACTGTATTTAGCACAGAATAGCCAATGAACTGATTGCCAAAAGACATCAAATCTTAACAACCAGCTGCCCAAAGATGAACAATCTTAACAGCTTAGAAGTTCATGCCAGACTGTGATTTTTAAGTTACATGTACTATTTAACAATTAATGTTTAAAATTCCATATATGCTGATATACTGATTAATTTATAATTAATCAGAGCGATGATGTTGCATAATTATATGCTGTAGAACGTCACCAGAATATGCATGACATCTTAAGAACTGTATCTATTATCAAAGATTAGATGGTGAACTGATTGCCAAACATAGAATCTTTACGATCAGCCGCCAAGGATGAAAAATTTTGACAGTTTAGAAGTTCATGCTGGACTATATGTTTTTTCAAGTTAAAAATGTTTAAACTACTATAAGTTGAATATAATTATGCTGATTGATTAAGTTGCAATTGCAGGAACAATGCTGAGTATACTGAGAAATACTGCAGCAGTCCTATGAACATTGGAAATATAAAATACTTTACTGCAAAATTGCAATACCACAAATATACCTGCACAAACAATATAAGCAAATGGAACAAAATATGCATAGCATTCACCACTTATATGACTTGTGTGCTATAATTCCATAATATAAAAATAGTGTTGGTTAATTATATACCGTGGAACATTGTAATATAGGAATGGTTGCTAGCTGAAAGATGACATTCTGGTAAAAGAACTGTTTCACAAGCTTAACTGTACATTATCCACTGAAAAATGTTATTTTATTAGTATGATTAATTGATTAATTAAAAACCTGTCTTACTTGTTTTTGACCATTAAGGTTGCAAGATTGGCTAATTTTCCAGAAATTGGTCTTAAAAATGGTGAAGGAGAAGAAGATTCCTAATTTCCTATCTGCTCACCAATAATCTTAATTATTTTACCTAGTGAAAAGACATCATTGGCTTTAGTAACTGATTTGTTTACAATTGGGAACTTCTGGTGCTATATGAGTATAAGTTGTCTTAATTATATTTCTTAATTTGTGTATTCCTACAGTACAGTACATGACTTGACAAATTACTTTCCCAAACTTTACTAAATAACCTTTTTGGCTACAAACCGAAACAGTATTTGACATTAAATTGCAATGCAAGTATTTCTTCAGTCTTGTGAATGTGATGCAGAGCATCTCCTATGTATATCATCATTAATTTCTGCTCATGAAATGCAGCGTCAAATAATAACCTGTACTCTGTCATTTATTGTATTCCATGTCCAACAATTAGACTCCATTGCAATGGAATATGTTTTAATCTCTGTTTGGATCCCGTGTAGATGAGGCACACAATGATATGAATGTGGTTTCTTGAAATTGTGGTTCCTTGCTAGGGGATACGGTAGAGCACTGTCAAATGATATTCTCCATATGTGCCTTCTACATTTGGGGATTCTATTTGGAGGTCCGCCAATTCGCATGGTTGAACACTTAGGAATACTTAGTTAGATGTATTATCACATTTGCTAATATCAACCTGGAAATAACAATGTTCAAGTGTTAGCTGGGTATGTCTTTCAGAGACATTAGCACGTGGTCGCGCTCGAAGCAACACACCTTGGGAAGCCACAAAATAATACATGGGCTTGCTAGATGTTAATTATGGTTAACACATTAAAAAATACAATGTTCCTAATGCTCTTTTTGTCTTTTTTATTTTATTCTGTCTAATTGAAGGCAATTTTGCTTTCAAGAGAGAGCTTTTTGTACACATAGCATATTACCAGGTTAACAGAAATATGGCTATGTAAAAACCCACAAATATTGTAGCTCGATAAACTCAACTCCAAAACATTTTGTGTTACTCAATACTCATTAGGGTTATCGAAACAACTATACTTTCCGGCTGCCAATGCTTTTGTCTACTCATAATGTACGCCTCTGGATTAATATTTAATGAGCGCTAGCTGTATGAGTGGAATACTTTATTAAACAACACACATCACGTTTGGCAGATGGAAAACCTTAAATACAATTAAATCTTTCAGTGGTAAATAATAGAATGCATGACTGGTTTATAGCAAATCAACAAAGCATGAAAGTTTGTGCTTTAAGTACATGATTCAATTTGAGCGAATACTGTATCTGTTGTCCAGTTAATATCGTCAACTAGTGTACTCGCGCGTCTATATAGCCCAAAGTTCAGCAAAGCAAAATAAAATATATAATCGTTTCATCGTTTGCTTTTTGTTAATACGGCATTTATACAGAATATATTATACAGTATGAACATACCGCATTACACGTTTTATCCCACAGCTGATATGCGATGTTTTATCACTTTGCGCACTTTCTCGACAGCGAATAATATTTGCTGGCAAGTTCATTATATGGCGGCTTGCTTCTTCCTTGACCCTGACCAGAGCTTCCTGAATTTTTAGTAAGGATATCGCCTTGGTTTGTCTTTCTCTTCTCTCGAACCTTTTGCGCTTCTTACGGGCTGTCCTCGTTCTTTTTTTCTGTTGGTTAGGGCTGTGAATATGCCGTTTAACTAAAGTAGGCTTTTCTCACACAACGGTTGTTATTAGGCATAGATGTCTGTATAAACTGCGCGCGATTTTGCGCCAAATAAGTTTACTAATGCATAGGTCTGGTTTGACGTCATCATGCCCATATTTGGTGGGTGCGCAAAGTTAATTGCATTCACCTTGTCTGTCGTATTCATGCATGCAAATATTTATATTTCTTAGGCCGCGTGTACACGATACCAGACAGATTTTCATTTATCAGACAAAAGTTTATGTATTTGACCACTTATCCGTACAAGCTTTTGTCCGTCACGAAAGCGTACCAGTTTCAAAATGTATCGACCAGACAAATGTTTGTTCGGTACTATGTAAGCGCAAAATCGGAACAAATATTTGTGCGACTACATCTCGAACAAATATTTGTGCGATCACATCCGAATTCCGCCAAGCAAAGAGCGAATCTATCCAGTACGAAGTATGTCGGAGGTCTATTGTCGTTAGCAGTTCAAATTTTTCGCAAAAAGAATGTATGCTTCGACAGCTGTGAACAATGATAGCGCACAGGCATACCACAGGAATATGCAGACAAATATTCGTCCGACATTGCAATCAGTATACAGGTTTCTATCGAAATAGAAATTGGTCTGGTGCCATGAAAACAGGGCCTTAGAGTGGAATAGTTTGAACCATGCAAATGGCCCAAAATACTATTTCTTTTCAATCGTATGCTTCCATAAAGTTTTAATTATTATAGGGAATGCATAATGACTAAAATGTTCACATCATTACAAGGACATAATTTACTCATTTGAGCGAGCAAAATAGGCAAAATAACCGCTGCATTTCATCTGCAACATTAAAAATCATATTTAAAGAGCGCCATGGCGCTCAAATAAGTACGAAATTAGTAAATTACGGTGTCCATACAATACATGCACGAAATAACAAAATGAATAAATAGTACTATAATATAATTTTATCCACGACTTCTTGTGTGCGCCTTGCGGTATTAATCTGTTTGGTTTTTGATATGGAGATATCCAAATAGAGAAGGAATTTTCAAGTATTTTATCTAGCTATTAGCTAAACATAATATGCTAACACCTGAAATTTGTTTACAGACATCATGAATCATCAAATTCCATCATAAATTGCAATAGGGATTCACTTCTTATTATGCATGTTGTTATCTATTCCACTTCCAATCTGAAGCATTCAAAGGAATGTTTAACTTTACAAACTATGTTGTGGAAACACGTATGAGATGAGATTATAATATTCCAAGTGTGAATATTAGGTGAATATGTGTCATATTCACGGCATATTCACGGCATATTCACGCTTGGAATACTCTGCAATACTATGCCGTATTCACACTAATATTCCACGTCAGAATACTGTTGCAATATGCGTTTTCTTCTAACCCGTATAGACATGTGAATACCTCGGAATACGTCGCTTTTCATGCAGTGATCCTATTTTGAAGGTTTTAAAGTGCAGTTTTAATACGCGAAATTGTTGGTTGACAAATAATGCGTGTACTATTCCGCCATTCGTTTTCCAGTGAAAATGACAAAAGAAATTTGGACGATCAAATCCAAATTCCGTTTTTCGTTTTTTGAATTCCAATTTTTATGATAACGGAAATCAAAAATAGGAATCTGAATTTCGTTTTCCGATGTCAATGCAATCAAAAACTCAATAAATTTAAAATCTGTATTTCTTACATTCCGATGACTCAAAATATGTAACCGGGGGGTGTGCGAACTATATGTAATTTTGGCCACGTGCTCTCACGTTGTTATAGTTAAATTCCAGTCTTTCCAGAAACTTTGGACACTGGATATATTCATAAAGCCATTACGTATTAAAAATAATAAAGCATTAAACTTGATTTATCATGGAAACTCCCGAGTTTTTGGAAGAGAAAAGAGATGATGTGTTTTTTCTTACACGGCGAGACAATGGGGACAGAATTGAAAGAAAAATACGAAGAAACCAAATTTCGTTGGAGAGGCTTGCGATAATGTTTGATGTAGGTATTGAAATATAAATGATACAATATTTTATCTGGTTTTGCATACGCTTTCAGATTTATAATATTCCATTTGGAATTTATGAAAGAGTTTTAACGTACACTATATATTGAAACTCTATATTTCCATATCAAATAATGAAATAATATATTAACAATAACATTGACGAACTGAGATTAACTTTTCAGAATATCAATCCTTTATTTATTGGCATAACAGAGACATGGCTGGAAAGCTCTATTGCGGATTCGGAAATCGAACTACCTGGATTTTCCGTAAATCGCCTTGATCGGAAAGGAAACCGCAGGGGAGGAGGAGTCGCACTGTACTTATCAAGTAACGTGAAATACACCAGAAGAAAGGACTTAGAAGAAGATTTTGAAGTAATATGGGTTGAAATTAAACTGCAAAAAGCAAAGTTTTTAATCGGATGTGTATATCGGGCTCCAGATGAAACTCTCCGGATTTTCGATTACCTTGACGATGTTATGAGATATGCGACAAGAAATAAGCTAGAAGTCATTATTGTTGGTGATCTTAATTGTGATTGTTTAAACGCAACTTTAAAACAAACAGAGAGGCTGTCAGAATTTACAATGGTCAACGAACTTGAACAGTTGATAAATGAACCTACCCGCGTTACGTCCACTACCAGTACTCTCATTGATGTCTTAATCACTTCAACGCCTAATTTGTTTAAGGACTCCGGAGTTATGGATATAACATTAAGTGACCATTACCCTATTTATGGTGTTATGCACGGTCCAGTAACCCATTCCAAGAAACATCGGATAATAACAACGCGTTCCTGGGATGACAACAAAGTGAATGCTTTTTTGGCTGATCTGAAACACGCTCCGTGGAGCCTGGTTGATTCTTTCGACAATGTGGACAGTATGTGTTCTGTATGGGAATCACTAATGAAATCCTTAATTGACCAACATTTCCCCTTAAAGCGAAAGCGTATTCGAAGACAGACTCACCCATGGCTTGATAGCACTACACTCAAGCTCATGAGAACACGTGATCAAATGCACAAAAAGGCAAAAAGATCAGGACTGTCTCAGGACTGGATCGAATACAGACGCCTTCGTAACAAAGTAACCGAAATAAACAGAAAGGCAAGAAAAGATTACTTCAGAAACAAGCTTGAAGAAAATCGTGGAAAGCCCAAAGCTTTCTGGGACACATTACGTCTGATCCTTCCATCCAAGAAAAACTGCAATGAAATTGAAAGGTTAGTGGTTGATGGTGAAGAGTTAAGTGACAAGCGTGACATTGCTAATTCTTTAAACGAATATTTTACAACAATTGCATCCTCGTTGTTAGCCAGTCACCAATCCCACGAGTACCTAGCAGCTCCACAGCAGGAAAACGACCCGGTCATTTCAAACAACACCTTTAAATTTCGTGTCTTGAATGAAGACGACGTTTTCAACGTCTTACAAACAATGGATATATCGAAAGCTACAGGAGCAGACAATATATCGGCTAAAGTCTTGAAGACCGCTGCTCCGTATATCAGCAACGTTGTATCTAATATATTCAATGCATGCTATCAGTACGGTCGCTTTCCATCTTCGTGGAAAACGGCGAGAGTGACACCATTGTTTAAAGGCGGGTCCAAGACTGATCGTGACAACCGAAGGCCAATTTCCGTTCTGCCCTGCATATCAAAGGCGCAAGAAATGTTCGCCTGCCCTGCATATCAAAGGCGCAAGAAATCTCGATCTACAAGAATTCGCAGCGGAGAATAATCTTATCGGTGACCATCAATTTGCGTACGCCAGAAACTCATCAACTACAGCAGCACTTATTATTACCGTTGACTCGTGGAAATTTGCTATAGACAAAGGAGAGAAAGTTGTTTGCACCTTCCTAGACTTGAGAAAGGCGTTTGACATCATAGATCATGACATCTTGATAAGCAAACTATCGAAAAGCGGAGTGACTGGAAACGAACTGAAATGGTTCACGAGTTATCTACACGAAAGGAAGCAATATGTCTCGTGCGAAGGCGTAGAGTCGCAACGGCGTTTAATTACACACGGAGTTCCACAGGGTTCAGTCCTCGGCCCAACGCTATTTAACATCCATATAAACGGGATCGCTGATGCGTGCAAGGACAGTGAGGCGGCGTTGTACGCAGACGATACAGAAATCCATGCGAGCTCGAAAGACATTGACGTGGCGGAACAACGGGTCAACCAAGATCTTGAAAATATCGTAATGTGGTGGAATCAGAACGGCCTAATCAGTAATCACAAGAAGTGTGAGGCAATGCTGATTGGATCGAGGTACACTGTCAAGAATACCAGAGAGTTACAGATTATACTTGATGGAAACCCAATGAAACAGTCAGAATATTATAAGCACCTAGGTGTTTATATAGATAACTGCCTGACATGGAATAAACATATCACGTATATAAAATCAAGAGTTTATCCAAAACTTAAACTGCTTAACAGAATTTCACATTTTCTTAGCCGCAATGTTTTGCTAAAGATCTACAAGCAAACTGTGCTTCCCCTGTTAGATTACGGATGCGTCATATGGGCTGAATGCGGAAAGAGAAACGTCCAAAGCTTAGAACGACTACAAAATCAAGCGATGCGGATAGTGTTACACGCGAACCGTAAGACATGTACTCAGGAGATGCGTGCTAAATTACACCTTTTGTCACTGTACGGAAGACGTCGTCTTATAAGATTGCAATACGTTTATAAAATCGTAAACAACATAAACTGCCCGAAGCAGTTGATAGGCTATCTAGTAAGACGATCACAAATGCACTGTCGATCTCTTAGAGATCCAACATTGCTAGATTTACCGCCAGTAAGAACTAGATGTGGCGAGACCTCATTCAGATTCTCGGCTGCCAAAGATTGGAATTCTCTACCGACAGAAATACGAGAATTAAAAACACTTGTGCGGTTCAAGAATGAAGTGTTTAAACACTTGATAAACATGGATGCTGTTACGCACAATTGTAGTTTGTAATTTTAGACATCTTAAGGCCTGTTGACACTTGCAATTTTTGCTGCGATTTTGGGTGCGGTCTTTTTCTCTTGGTGCGATTTTGGGTGCGGTCTTTTTCTCTTGGTGTGAGGGGGTGCATGAGTTGTGAATGTTTAGATGAAGGTACATGTACTCAGAACATTCATTGCTCATCTGCTCGTTCGCATGCATCGGAGGAGGAGTGTCGCGCCTGGAATCGCAGCGGAGGTTGCAGGTGTAAACAGTGTTTACATTATATAGCCTTATTTATGCACTGTTACGCACTTATGTTATTGTATATATACTTGTTATACACTGATCACCGATTGATACCAGCCAATCTATGTAATTGACTGAACGGTCTTTTTTATCAGTATAAATAAAGATTTTATTATTATTATTATTATTATTTATTGTATAAACCCAAATTATATAAATATAGACAATGACCCGTATTCCTGTACAATCTGCTTAATTGTGTCGATTTAAATGTACAAGGTCAATTATATTGGCTAGTGAGAAGGAAACCTTCCTATTTGTATTAAATATTCTAGTGAATTTCTAATAGTTTATAGCCTATGTTAAATGTTTTATATAAAACTGATCCTTTCTGCTCGCCATATGCTGCTCGCGTCCTTGTTGCCTTGGCAACATCCATTTTCGCGCGTTTTTCTATTTTATCCCTATGTATATGTTGATGTTCATTAATGTTCTGACATCACACTACTGAAAAGAACGTTAGAGTTAAAAAGTCTTAAAGAAATCAATCTACAGGGTGTCGGAGTGGCTCTAGAGGTGGGGGGGGGAGGTACAATTAGCACCTGGAAAAGTGGGGTGACATTCTAAGGGGTCCAGGGCATGCCCCCAGGAAAATTTTGAAACTAGAGTCTCTGACATTCCATCTCCTGCAATAATTGGGGGGGGGGGTGTATTCAAATATTCATGTTCACATATACCATAAAACAAATCGCTTTCAAAATAAATCCATCAGGCAGAACACGAATATATGAATATGCACCCCCTCCCCCCCAGAGGAGGTTGGAAGCCCTTCCCGGCATGCATTGTAACTCATTCATATTATCGATTCCCCGGGACGAGCCGTCATTGTTCGACTAGCTCTCGTTGTGTTCACTACTCAATTTGCAAGGAGCGGTATTCAAAAGTACAAATTGAAAATTGTAAATCATGGCGAATTTTCGTACTGTTCGTGGCAACAAAGCTACTGATTTGGATGGACGTGACGTGACAATCTTTATGTACATTGTGTGTCGAAAGAGCGACTGGAGCTGCTTCGTGAAGGGATGTCGAACTTCTAGTTTTATGGATAACGACAAGTCGACAACATTTGACGTAAAAGTTGACTTATTATATGTTCGCCGAATGCGATAGTCCTTCATTGATAGAAATCTATTCTAGTTGTGACCTTAAGGTACGATTATTTTATGATTTAATTGGTGGGAAAATGGGCCATTTATACTCGGAAATCATACAAGACTACAAGTATTTGAATGTCAAATGAGTCAAATCTATTTTAATATCATAAAAGCAGGGAGGAGGGGCAAGGGGGGCAGAAGTGCACTTTGTGTTATAGAAATTCTGCCTGCTATCTTATCTCCAGTTTTGGGCAAAGTCATGAGGTGTGAACTTGAATGTGACCTGATTAAGTGTGTTTGTGCAGTTATAGTTCCTTGAGTAGACTTTATTTCCAGAACACAGAACAGCTATCGTCAATGGAACATGCACACTCAGGCTTTCATTGGCAAGTCAACACATAATTGTAGGTCTATAAAGGTGTCCTTGCCTTTTTATTGTTCCAACGTCCCTGTATAAATGCATCAAATCTTTTTTTACCTGTAGTACTTATGTTGTGTTCTGTTGTGGGAGTTTAACATTATTCCATCACCAACTTCTGTAACAATCTGACCACCTAAGCTGGATATTTTAGAGGATATACTGAATGATCTACCACTGGTGAATTTAGATGAGCCATTGTTATGCAATTGCATTAAACAGCCATTAAATCCTATGTGTTTAGGTAAAATTCATGGTGAAGAGATGCCTGGTGATGTTGAAAGTATTGGTGCAGAAGGTGGAGTTGCAGACATGGACAAGATTGATGAAATTCAGCAGTTGACTCAATTATTGGGTGTGGAACAGGCTACTGATGATGCTAAATACATGAATGATTCAAGCTCTGATTAGGAGGATGGAGACAAGGATTCTGAAGGACAAGGATTGTGGAGGAGACACATTGTATCCTGAGAATTAAGACAAGGATTGTGGAGGATACTTTGTATCCTGAGAAGTTTGTTGTAGCTGGTGCCTGGCGAGAACAAAGATACCATGCAACTTGTGATAATCATGTATAGATGATCAAAAAATCTCAAGTTGAAATTTAAAGTAGAACATGAGCAAGACATTTTTAGTTGAGATTTTCATATAAATTTATTCCTATTAAAACACTGTTATTATTTCAGGTAAATATTTGATATTAGTATTTTTGCACAAGTGAACATAACAAATGCTACAAGGTGATTGGTCAAATTTGATGTATTAATCTGTTATATTATAACAAAATTGAAATTTTCAAAATGGCGGCTAGCTGTTTTGTTGAAGTTAGTAATAAAGAAATAAGCGAAATTAAAATGAATTCAGACCAGAAAAATACAAAAACTTGTGCAAAAATACTAAAACAATTATTCGCCTCAGGCTCTGTGATTATCTGGGAATATTAACCTCGGGGCAAATATTCCCCGATAATCACCTCGCCTTCGGTGAATAATTGTTAAATATAATTTTACCATTCCTTTTTCAAATAAATAAATGTTTTCAAACTCAATTTCCTGTGTTTGTTTACTGCAGTCATTGTGCATGTGTTCTTAACACTGTTTTAACAGCTGTATATTTAGCACAAATGGATCACTGATCTAAATATGGATCCAGTATGATGTGGTAGGGAGGGTGCTCTGGTGCCGAGTTGTGTCAGTCATGTGCGCCACCCACCTATCAACTTACTTGACTACAGCAAAGTCTTGCTTGACTACTGTATTGTAATTGTTGTTAACAAACAGTTTACTTATCATCATGTTATTACTCAAATTACTCATTTTGACTCTAATATTTTTTGCTTTATCATGAAAATACCCCCCCCCCCATGCATACCCTCTGGCCAAGGCTAGGTGGGGGGTGGTCATATAAATGCAGTGGTCATACATAATTGATGTTAATAAAATGCTTTATTCAAAGTTACAATATATAAAGTAAATACTTAAGATTCATTGCAACATTTTCATGTCACCAATACACCAGTATTTACATGTAAAATGTCTACTAAAATATGTATCTATTAAAAGGCTGGTATGGGCAAATTTATATAACAGGTTGCTCTTATTATTCTGGTTCAATAGTTTCATTGCTCGAATCAGTTGAATGGATCATGAGCACAACTTGGCTGGATTAGATGTTATACCATTTGCCAAAGCAGGATGTAGGAACAGTTTGCTCAATAACAGTTCTAAATCAGCATTAAATTCATAAGTTCAACTTTTCCCATACTAAGGATCAACAATATAAACAACATTGCCATCATCAGATTCCATTTTCACAAAATATATTCGAATTCTATAAAAATAATTGTAAAATACAGTGTATTTAACTTAAATGCAGCAGTTAAACTCAACAACGATCGACATATGTGCACATGCTTCGAAATAAAACAAAAATAATAACGACTCGTACAGTAATTTTCCTCGCGCCATAATTCCCATGCGGTCGATTATTCCCGCGATGGGCGACATAGTATACCGAAAATGCCCCATTTTCAAACCGCGATTACTCGTCAGTTTGATGGGGACAATTCATTTTTTAAACTTCTCATAGAAAGAACAACTCTTCCTGAACACGATGGCGTGTCTTTTATTTAATTTACTCATTTATAAACCCAATTGTCCCCAGCGGTTTTGAAAGCCACTTTTGACACTTGTGCGTTGACCCGGAAAACAGGTCAATCCAAATTGCGATTAACATATAACTAAACGTTGTTAAAACCCCAAATAAAGCAAAAATCGTTAATTTGACTCATATTTAAAACAATTATAAAAACGTACCTTCAAAAATACGAACTTTTCGTGGCGAAATATCGAAATAAATATCCACAACTTTTCCAACTAACATTGTGAAAAATCATGATTGTGAATATTAATGAGTTGCAATGCATGCTGGGAAGAGCTTCCACCCTCCTCTGCCCTCCCCCCATATATATATATATATATATATATATATATATATATATATATATATATATATATATATATATATATATATATATATATATATATATATATAATTATATTATCGGTTTATAGCTACAGTACATCTGTGATCTCCTGCAATTTAGAAGGTTCATGGTAGTTCAACATTTCCTGTTCCCAATCATTGTTCCCTTTTGATGAATTAAGGACACTTGTGACCAATTAGGGACAAATTAAATGTTTTGACAAATCACTTGTAGCTTGAACCATCGACTATTTATTTGGTTGAAGAATTTGGGGATGGGGCATCAGAATGGCCCAACCGTGATGGGAGATTCAACATGGCAATGTTCAAGATGGGAACATATATTCAGGTTGAAGGGCGATCGGGTACATCAAAGTCTTCTTCAAGTCAAGCTGTCAGCCTAAATAGCAGTTTTTGTAATATACAACAAAAGGGCAATACCAGCGCATCATTTTCACCTTTGTTTCGGCAAGTCAATTTACTTGACTATGCAAATTGACAGTCACAATTTTTACTGTTTTATCTCGTCCGTATAAAATTGGCGTTGTTTTGTTGAATGATCGACTACTTTGTTAAACAACTTTGGGTATAATGGTTTTTCTTAATTATTAGGAAGTGGTCGTTATTTACGGGGAGGGGGTAGTAAATGGAAGGGGGGATGGCGTTTTACCCTTATAAATAAAGGGGCTCAAAAAGGTTTTAACCTAGCGAGAGGGGGTAAAAAAGTTTTTGAACTTAAATATCATGTCTAGAGTTATGATTTCTACAATCACAAATAGCACAGACTCACAAATCATAATGCCAAAGAAGACTCTGAAAATGCCATTTCCAATGAACTACTTCTGAGACTCAAGATTTCCCCACTCAGCGCCAACCATGGTTAGTAGTGTTTTGTGGGAGCCCGCGGCCCAGTAAGTTTAACAAGCTTCCTTAACCCCTTGAGTGACCCAGTTGTGGTATTTACATAAACATACCATGCAAGTACTAACTAATCAGATTCAGTCTATCAAAGCACAATGTAACTCTGTATGTCCAAAAATCTGTTTATGAAAATGCTCACATTGCAGTTCTAATGGGGTGGGAAAATACAAAAAAGTTTCTGGGGGAGAATACCCCCAGACCCCCTACTAGTACATACGATACCACACTAAACTTTTTGTCACCAACAACCATCTATCATCTCTCCACACTCAGTGTAGTATGGTTCCTTTTTGTATATGCCCCCCCCCGGACAAGTTCTTAAAAAATCCCTGTGTTCAAATAATTTCACAGGCCATGGGTTATGGTAGGACAAAAGCTGCATTGCAAAGTAGTAACACATAATATATATTTTTTAATCATATATGGTTGAATCATATTCACCAGGGTAAAACATCATGAGCTAGATTAAACAGATTGACGTCCTGACCCCCCGCCAGTGTGGTAAAGTTTCCAATTTTAGGGGGGGAGGGGGGCACAAAAAGTTTGCCTTCAGTCTGGAGGGGGGGTTGAAAAGTTTCCAATCCTTATTTTTCCCGTAATTACCAACTCCCCCCTCCCAATAAATAATGACCACTCCCTAAAAGGGGGGGGGGGGGTGAATAGGTTTTCGAATCGTCGGATTCCGCCAAAAAAAATGTTCGAATTTGGCGAATATTTTACACGGATTTGCGAATCTTATTAATACAGTGGATTGTGGATTACCTAATATTTTGGCTTAGATTGTGGATTTTGCTTGCAATTTAGTTCGGATCCTCGATTGTGACTAAATAGTAGAGCTTTTAGCGGATCCAAAATTTAGACAAGACCATTGTCTGACAGAGGATTTTCTTTCAAGTTTGGTAGGATCGGTGGATTTGTATACCCCTATTCACCCCCTCCCCTAAATATGGCCTACAGTAGTAATTAATATATAATTTCTATCAGAGGGTTGGTTGGGTGACAGACAGCTAGGTTTACTGCTTAGATGCTATACATGTTACATAATATGTGAATGTTACATAACATGCTTTAATTGCGGTGATGCTAAGACAGAACAATTCTAAAAACTGTTGCCGGCATACAGACACAACATAACTTAATAGAATGTGTCTGCATATACAGTATATGTCCACAGGGAAAATTATTTTTCTTCATTTGTGCATCAGCCTGTGTGCAGACTCTGTACCTATGCAAAGGATATAATTAATTATGTGTGCGAGTTTACAATAATATAAATATTAAAATATAATGAAAGATTTATTTAAATCTTAATATTAATGTCTGTATTTAAATTTTAATGACTTTTAGTTCAGTTGTTCCTGGCAAGAAGAAAGTCAGTTATACTCTTAAAGTTACACTAGCAGAAAGAAATGGAAACAAAATTACCAACCCTACAAGACAAACATATATTAGTTTGAGTGAAGAAACAGCTTGTGTTGATTACATCGTTAGTTACTGCAAACAAAAGTTTGATAATGACTCGCTGATTTTGGTCTCAGCAAATTGTTTGCCAGTAGAGGATTCTGAAGTAACCAGAGGTGCAAAATATTAGTTAAAAAATATTAGCTCTTAATTAATTGGCTGCTGCAGCGAAAAACCTTCATGTGTGCCTGCCATGCTAAAAACAGGCTGGCAAACATGAAAATAAGGCCTTTGAGGAGAGGTGCAATAAACAAGTATATATATTAGATAGAATTTGTGTCAGTGGTACATTTTCAATTAGCAGTTCATATGGTAATTAAATATCAATCTTAGAATGGATCCTTTCGCTTAGGAACAGAACAATTTTACTTGTCAATGGGGAAGCTCTGTAGCTTATGGGTTAACCAAAAAATCTGACAATTATAATGTCTTTAGTTAACCCATTGAGCCGCAATGCACCCCAGTGCGCCCTATACTTATTTTTTACTTGTCTAACGCCTGACGATTTTACTTGTCTAACACCATATGATTTTACTCGTCAATGGGGAAGCTCGCAGCTTAATGGGTTTATATACGTATATACTGTAATAAGGTGCAGTAAATGTTATTACTTATTTTATCTTATTTTACTAGGTCTGGGTTTCTGGAAAGCGAATTCCAGGAAGATTTATGCAGTTCCGAACATTACAAAAAGAAAGACATTAAAAGGTGAGGCTGCTTCTGCTATAATGGTTACAGATGAAAGTGATGAGGATGAGAAAGAGAAGAAAAGGCCAAAATTATCACATCTGTCAAAGCAAGGTACTTATATGTGTGGAGTTTCTAATCAACTGTATCAATGTAGAAATTTGATGCACTGTATTGATCACTACCGTAAAAAGCCACAATTTGACAATAGTTTTTGTATTTGTACAATATAAAGGCTATTTAGTATTAGTAATAGATTTTTACATAAAATTTTAACATTCTGTATATCATATTGATATAATTATGTCTAATATATCTTGCCACATTAACATTTGTTTAGATCTCATCGATGGTCTTAAGGAAACAATTCCTGGCTTAATGAAAGAGGCTATAGATGAGCCGATGTCCAGTCTAAGAGAAGAATTAAATTCCAAGCAACTGCTGCTGCAAGAATATCAAGCCATACTTGCATGTGTTATTTGCTGTCAAACCACACGACCACCTCTTATGATTAGCGATTGTTGTTGTAGTATCTTAGGCTGCAAAGAATGTATTGAGACATGGTACAATGCCAATAGCACATGCCCAAAATGCCGAACAGAACATTCTTTACTGAGTGGGTATTTTGAACTCAAAGGATTTGAAGATGTTTTAAGAAAAGCAGCAAAGTAGGCAAGGGAGAATTGAACACATTCTGTTATTGTTGTGTTTCTGTTGCAACCATTATAGACATTCAGTTATGAAACAACTGTACAGTATGTTTCACACTGGTATTTACATTTAGTTTTGTACAATATGCAGGGCTCAAAATAATGTTCATCAGTGATATGCTGGTCAAGCAGGCCAGTTCCTAAAACATCTTCCTAAAACAATCAAAAGGTAACAGCTAGAACAAGAAGCATGTAAATCATATATGATATTATGCTAGTAACTATGGCGCATTGCCACTTCATCCTTTGCTATAAGATTTTAACACCAAGAAAACCCTTGCAAATACACCATTGCGATACTGTACTTACATCACAAATCCCTCCTTGGCCCAAAAGCCTTATGTGTACATGTATGCTTGTGAATCGTACATGAATAGCCTAAAGTTGTCTTGATTCATTAAAGTGAGGTTTTCAGTCCAAGCGATGAAATTATAAATGTATTGAAATGGTGAATCGACATAATATTTAATAGGTCCACAACATCTTAACATTTAATTTTGTTCCCATGCAGAGCCAATGTCATTAGAACTGCATCACCCAAATTTGACCATTATTTATGTTGAAAATTTGGCTGTCACTGTGACCATTATTTTCAGCCCTGGAATTCTTTCTTGAGTTTGGCAATTACAATTTTTATTATGTCAATTGATTTCTTGTTATGTTTGCAAACAGTTCAATGGCATTTCGGAACAATAAGTCACTCCCATTGACAAGCTGAGACATTATATCCTGTATGCTAATTTGGTTTAGAAATTGTTGTTCTCGTGATTCTGCACGATCACCATAGTTAGCAAGGGGGTCTGCCCCAAAAGATGGAAACAATGTTAACTGACCACCCAAACCTTCGTAAGACTCACCAGCTTCTGCAGCAGTTGGCACTAATTGAGGGTCAATTTGAACTGCCCTGTTATTGGCAGCATGCACCTCTATAGGTTTTCCAACACCTAGTAATGAAAGACAGAAATTAATAATTTGCAAATATGTTTTGCCAGGATGTTCTGTTGGGTTCGTTTTTGCAGAGAAGATCGAGTTTGCCTAATCAGCTTGGGATCTGGGACTAGTACTGTATACATAACTAGCAAATCACATGATATAGGTGCACATTTATATATGGTAGTACTCCACTGTACCAGGTATTGGGTGATAGTTCCAGGATCTGACCACATTTTCCAAGCCCAGCGTTGCCAATTTACGGGATACATTAGAGACATGGAATTTCATTTCTTCGCTATCCATGTCAATGGAACCATCTGCTTCCATTGATTGTAGAGCGTTCTTTATGGGATAGTTTACTCGTGCATTCACTTCTACCCACAGTCTTTCAATCGCAGATTCTGCAATAAAACAATTTCTTATTTGGTACATATACTGCATGTATAGGTATTTTATTAAAGTATTCACATAGACATACTCTTAACTTGTAAATTCATTCTAATTTAGTCTTTAAATTTAGTCCATTACACACAGATATTAGATTATTCGGACAACTTTTCCTTATCCCCATTTTTTGTCCGAGTTACAGTATGTTTCAATTTTTCTGCAGCATGGGAAGGAGCAGGGTAGCTAACCCCTCTGACCCCCACATTGTACACCTGTGACTAATTATTTATAGAAAATACCAAACATACCTTTTTTGATTCTGTTTGACGATGAGGGTCTCTCCTTGGGTTTCCTCTTAAGTGTGCCGAACACTCCTGTCCGTAGAGTGTCAAGTAAAATTCTTTTCCATGATCCACTCGAATTTGATCAAATAATCCCTCCTGAAGGACTGTGTGTCTATATTTACAAATCATGTGTATAAAAATGTGATTCACTTTCAGAAAGTTAAATTACCTGAATTAGGGATTGTTCTCAGGTATAGAAAGTAACTCTGATATAAGCAATTTCTTGTCATTATAGTTCTGTACATATACAGACTACATAATTCTACTACAGTAAAGAGCATCAAATTACCTGAAAATTTGATCATATATAATATAATTATTTTTGATTGGCATGGTTGAATGAGCTGTAATATATCTGGAATACCCATCTATTGCACACACATGGGTCACACCATACATTACTAATTTTTCGTTCTGGTCAATGTGTAGTTTGTGACCAAAATAGTCTGCATGATATGGTATGGGATTTGTTTGTCGCTCTGTCCGATGCACACGTCGCTGGTGATAATCGGGATTGACTCTTTGAAGTGACTTGGCAATGCGATGCTGTGAGGCAATGGTTGTACCAACTTGACTTTCCAAGTATCCTTTCATCATTTTTCTTCCATAAACTGGTCCTACCTAACAGCAGTAGAAATGTCTACTAAAGGCATAAGCAACACAAGATAGGAAGCAAATTATAAATGTAAGTTGGGCAAAAAGATGGGGGCAATAAATTTAAAACCAAGAAATATTTCAGATAATAGTCGAATATTCAAGAAATATGTACGGTTTCCCTATCCCTAACATATGATTGGATATTTTAATTTATAAATACATATACTGTATAATTTATTTCTGCCCTCCTAATATTTTCCCTCTTGTATGCCTATAGAGGAGAATTAGCAGATACCCTATAGTACTTGCACAGATCAATTTATTGTTTAATAGAATATCACAATATCTAACCTGTGATACTGCTCCCTCAACTAGTGCATCCAAAGTTTCGTCTGAAACTACACCTTTTCTTCTAATATCATTCTCCTTGCAAAAGCGTTCAATACTTCTAGTACTGAAACCGGTTGTATTTGGAAACTGCTCCTTTAAATGTTCCGATAAATCTTTGATTGTGCTGCCCTCACGAGACAAGAAACTCTGAATGTATTCAACACCTATGTTCTCTAATGCCGCCATGTTGTTTTCGTTTTGATAAATATCGCACACCCCCCGGTTACATATTTTGAGTCATCGGATGTAAAGAAATACAGATTTTAAATTTTGTGTAGTTATTGAGTTTTTGATTGCATTGACATCGGAAAACGAAATTCAGATTCCTATTTTTGATTTCCGTTGTCATAAAAATTGGAATTCAAAAAACGAAAAACGGAATTTGGATTTGATCGTCCAAATTTCTTTTGTCATTTTCACTGGAAAACGAATGGCGGAATAGTACACGCATTACAAATCACTCAAAATTACTAAACTAATTTAAAATGCAGTACGTTTGATCCTTAACAACTTTGGAATCGTTGGTTTTCTCTTTTCGACCGTCTACCAGTATATTCGACTCGCTTATCTCTTCATTTTGATAGCATTTAGAGCCCAAAATATTGTATTTAAAAGGCTCTACAACTCAGTTTTGATCCTAACGTACGGACCAACGACGTCACTGGCGGGCGACAGGAAAATGTATCGTAAACGCCGGAAGTTTTACTTGTAGGCGGGCACCGCATTTTAGTATTGTGTCTGGTTATTGTACTGCTCCTTGATAGCACATCGTGACCTCGCCGGAATTTAAAGTTTGGCCAATACTAATGTGACTAATTTAACCACGCAATTTCAACCACTTTCATGATGAAAAAATACAACTCCATCTCTCGTAATTAATGAGACTACAATTCAACATTAAGTAGACATGCATGCATGCAAAAAGCCCTCGCCTATATTGTCCAAACATTGTTTCAACATGAAGTACTCGTAATTACGCCAACACTAAACGCAGGCTCGCGTTGCACGTCATGTTAGTCATGGCAACACGTTAATACAAATTTGAAAATAAATTGATGAAATTTGAACACTTTTAAACACAGAACTATCAATTTCTAAAATATATGAAGTAGGTATATTATCCAACCTCGTACCTAGTGCCTTTGCGCGGTTCAGAGGCTCTCGTACGGGAAGTAAAGGCCCTTGTAAACACTGGTCTCGTGTGTCCAAAAATATTGGACATTTTTGTAACCTGGCCTTATTTAGGTCATGTTATCCCTGGGGGGGGGGGACAACTGAACATTGCAATGCACGAACTATAAAAGTTTCAAATACAAATGCTTTTGCCTTTGATTTTTTAAATATGAATGTATAACACTTGTTTGAAAAATCATATTTTAAAACAACAGACAGCAGATTTAGGCTTGTTTTTATTTTGATGGAAATTATAAACTTTGAAATCACATGAATTTTGAATAATGCTATAAAGAATGCAGTATATTCGAGGTAAATGATTTTATGATGCATAATATAAAATTATATTCTACTATCTTTTAATATTTATCAGTTTATATATCCTAAATTCCAGCAGATTCGTGGCTGTCTGTTTCTATAATTAGTTTTTTTCCTTTAATTACTCCTCCATCTTTCGCTTTTGGATATAAACCCTCCTTCATGCCTGATATATTTTTTGGTTATCTCCATCCTTCACTTAGTTTACTAAGATCAAAATTTTCTGTTCCAGCTTGCTCAGAAAATATTCAATCTTTCATTACTGGAGTTCTCTTTGACATGTAAAATCGTTAGGCAATATCCTCAGTAAAATACTTATTTAACTGGCAGAGCATTACAGCGTAGTCAAAAGTTAATAAATGAATACATGCAAAAATTACAAATTAACTGCCCTCATACCAAATCCATTGGTCTGACTCATCCAATAAATACTTAACAGAATAGTACGATAATAATAGAAAAGTGTGAAAATGCCAACGTTTCCTAACTTTGTGTGACAAGAAAGTTAGATCACATCAATTTTACAGTCAGGTATTCTTCTATTTATCGCCTCAATACTCTGGTTGATGATTCCAATGGCCCCCATAAATTTCCAATGACTCCCATACATTTTACTGGAGAAAATTTTTCCCCCACTTCTTGCCATTAAATCTCCATAGCCCCCAATTTTACCCATCCAAGGGAGAGTCTTGTTTGGTCACACAACTGTAATGGGAATATGTGATAATCAATATATGATGTTATATGATATGGTGTTATTTTTCCCTTTCCAACACCAGACAATTTTACTTGTCAAGTGTAAGATTAAGTGAGTAATAAA